CTTCAACGTAAATGTTAGGAAGGAATGGAATTGTTACTAATGTGAACTAAAATCCCATTGCTAACAATGTACCTCTATGCTCAGGTTGACATCCACGCGGTTCCCTCTAGAAACCATTGTGATAAATTCCTGGTGAATTTGCCACAATGGGCTAACTGACTTGACCTCATGTTCATCTTATCATCCTCCTCTAGCGCCCCGCCTGCGTAAACTATTAGCGTAGGAGGGAGCACTATTCCAGTATCCATTAAAAAAATATACACTTACAACTACAAATAATCGCTAGCATAATCTACATTAATATATAAATCCATATATTTGATGTTATTCACAAGAGCTTCTAGATTGAACACAAACTCAACACAATCTAATCAAAGTATAATTGTTCTACTTATACGCGAAACAGAAATAGCTCTCCAATATGTAATAATATGTGAATTAAATATAATGATTTCTTAATTCAGTTTATATAAACTGTTTATATAAACAATGTACACAGATGTTAACAGAAAATACGGTAAATTATTAGGGTTCCTTTCCATATATATATTTAATAACGTAAACGATCCTGAAGGATGAAATTATCTATTTTTCTTTTTAATTAATCGTCAGTCAGGGTTCATTCTTTCAAAATATAAAAAGAATATTTTTTTATCAGAGCAACCGAAAGTACTACTTAAGTAAATGGTTTGTAATGTATAAATTACATGATCTTTGCTCAGTATACAGAATATGGAATTAAATAAACATTAATCTTATATCAAGCATTTCGTATGGATAATCAAAAAACCTAAAGAAATTTTAATTAAAACGCAAGTATAAACAGTCATGTTTATAAATACAAATATTTGTATTGCACGGGGATTGAACCCATGATTATTAGTAGGCATGACTTGTTAGTCATTAATTGACATGCTAGGCTTATTACTATTTGTATTATCGTATATTTAGTAGGTTACATTCTCAATCTGGTTCAAAGTCTAAACTAGATACGGTTTACATGCATTATGCTGGTATTCGGATCGACTTTTAATGTTCCAGGGATGCTGGATGCTGGGTCTATTCTTATCTCATGTGTTTTCGAAGCCTTAATTTAATCCGTACGGAACCCGCATCCTAAGTCCTACTCGCTATTATCTCTTTTTTTCAAAAGGTGACCTAACAAATTTCTCTTTACAAAGTTAAACGATTACAATATCCAGGGCCGACGGAAACGGAGCATGCGGGCGCCTCGTCGAAGGGGGCGCCATCACGAGAATCGGTTATATACTATAATTTTATTAACATACTAGCTGTCCCGGCAAACGTGGTTTTGCCTTAAAATAAAATTAAAATTTAGGGGTCGACTACCCCTAACATTTAGGGGTATGAAAAATAGATGTTGGCCGATTCTCAGACCTACTCAATACGCTCACAAAATTTCATGAGAATCGGTCAAACCGTTTCGGAGGAGTATGAGAACGAAAACTGTGACACAAGAATTTTATATATAAGATAGAATCTATAGAATACTTAATAAATAGTGTAACTTAACTATGAATCAGGGATGTTATGGATATGAAATTTTGGATACGGATAGGTTTCGGATATAGGAATGATTATTATACCGGATACGGATACGGATGCGGATATGAAATTATTTCGGATTATCTGTTAGTTTCGGATAATTTCGGTTACGGATATTATTTTTTAAGGAATTTCAAAAGTAAAATCCAAATAGCTAATAACATGGTTACATAACGTATCTCTATTACGCTCCGTCCCTATCCGATATCATGCGAAACTTTTATTTCGGATCGGTTACCGTTACGAATATTTTTCTATATCCGATAGTTTCGGTTACGGTTACGGAGAGACGTCCCCAACATCCCTGCTATGAATACGGAGTCAAACCGCGCTAGGATAAAAATTGCATGCGGGCGCTGAGGACCCTGCCGCCGGCCCTGACAATATCTGTTAATCAAATTAATAATTTTGTAAGAAATAGGTTATATAATTCATTGTAGTTCGTACAAAATCGTTAATTTTTATTTGGGTATAGACTACTACCTATTTATATTTTTGCTTCTAAAAATAAGCAGATTCGTTGGTTTTATATAGAAGGACTAGTTACATTAGTTCTTTTGCTGATTGTTGTACTTCTATGTTAATATTACACATTATCTTATCTGTGGTATCACAATTTATGATTTTTGTTTGTAAAGTTACATACATTACAGTTTAAAAAAAATCTTTAATTGAATACTATGTCATTAGCATAGCATGGCATGCATAGATTTTATAAAAAATAACAGTGGTGATCCTCCACAGTGTGGTTTTCTAGAAACTTTTTGCCATGCACAACCACATTGTGGAATCACCTTCCAGCAATGGTATTTCCGAATCAATACGATATTGTAACCTTCAAGAAAAGAGCTCATTCCTTTTTAAAGGACCGGCAATGCCCTTGCAATTGGCCTGGTGTTGTGGGTGCTCATGGACGGCGGTAATCACTTACTATAGTATATATATATTATAGTATTATATATATGTAGTATGGTAGTAGTACTACTACTACTATTATTTAAAAATAATCCTATAATTACAACTAAATATATCCTTACTGTTCGAGTTAAAGATCTTCATCAAAATAAAACTCCGGTTGTGTTCATGGATTTATTTTTCAAACACTAACTATTTCGTTCACATTTTAAAATCAACTCCCACGAACAGAGGAGTGGCGTCCTTTTATAGTCATTTCTCAGTCTGTTTAACTACTTAAATTTATTTTATAATGCTAATAAAGTTTTATTAAATTCTACATATGAAAATATATTATTAGAATTTATATTGAATATATATTGAACACGCTTTCTATAAACATACCATAAACAATTGTTAAAACACACGCATTGTAAAAACCAGTCACGAATTATAGATCATATTAGATACTAAATTACGTAACAGTTCGTAATGGATAAATTACTATAATCTTGCATTATAAATGCGAATGTAACTCTGTCTGTCTGTTGTGCTTCTACGCTAAAACTACTGAACTGATTTAAATGAAATTTGGTACACAGATAGTCTAGACCCTGTAAAAGGACATAGGCTGCTTTTTAATGCGAAAAGGGTTGTAAGGGGTTGAAACGGTATCGTCATTTATAAAGCTAGAAGTTTGAAAATTATTTTTGGGATGTTGATTAAATTGAAATAAATATGACATTCAAAGTGTCTAAAAATTTTACCCTTAAGGGTAAGGTAAAATCCCCTATTTTAGGGGATGAAAATTTTTATGGAAATTCGTCATTTTTGAAGCTAGAATAATGAACATTTTATTGGGGTTTGAAGCGGAGGTATCTTATGTGTCTGATGAGTGAGAGGTGCTGAGGGTTTTAATAATGAAAATACGGAGATCAAATAAAATGCGACTAATATGACAGCAATATATAATAGAAAGTAACAAAAAGAATATGCAAAAAAATATAATTATAAAATTCAAAAATAGTATATATATATATATATACCTATCAAGGAGTTCGCTACAGAGTTGATTATTATTATATATTTTTTCTTTATGTCGGTCATTGTATTGTTTATTTCAATCGTCAAAGTATATTAGTTTCGAATTTTGTTTGATGTTATTACGTCATTATTATCTGTTGTACATTTGGATATTAGGTAGATACCTAGACCTAAATAAATATATACATAATACGAATTATACAAACGTAAATCAAGAACACGAAACGAAATTGTTCGACTGTAACTGTTTCTAGAGTAACTTTTCAGTTGGAAATTATTTCAGACGCATATAAATGCAGTTCCGTATGCTCTTTTATCGTTTCAATCATTAATGTACTGCCTAAAAATACTTCAGGTATTAAAGTTGGCAGGGTTGGCAACCGTAATATGTGGGGGATTAGGGAATGGGGTTGTTAGTAATGAGATTTAATGAAACCATTGCTAGCAATGTAGCGTGTCAAGTTATCATCCACGTGGTTCCCCCTGGGTTTCCAGGGACATCCACGCGGAAATTAACTTGACTTGACTTGAGGTTATCGTGATAAATTCCTTGTGAATTTGTCACGACGGGCTAACAGACCTAACCTCATGCTCTTTCTATCATTCTCTACTGGTGCTTGCCAGCGTAAACCATTAGCGCAGGCTGATGAGTATGTTACATTATCATCTATTTAAAAAAAATGAGGGATAAAGGGGATTGTTAGTATTGTGGTCTGATGACCCCATTTTTTTCACGGTATACGCCACTATACGGTGGCTGGGCACCATTGGAGGATAATAAAATGAGCCTGAGGTCATGTCAGTTAGCCCATGAATTTATTACGATGATTTTCAGGGGGCGGGTCCTCCTGAAAATCATCGTGGACGTCAACGTAGATAGCAATGGGATATGGCCCCATTGAGGTATTTTGAGCAATATACAAAATATTTTACCTCTTCATACGAGGAAAAAAATATTACGTTCGGTAACCCTAAACTGAACGCAATCCAAAACTTTAATTTGGAAACAAAACCAGACAAAGGCGATGATATTGCTTTCGCTTCTGTTTTTGAAATTTAGTAACTTAAACAAATATACTTTCACACCTCTCTTAAACTACTCGATGAACAAAATATAGGATTCTTCATTAGACCTGCTCAAAAACATGAAATAAAGAAATACTGAGATCACATTATTGCTATCTATAGCTCATGTTTTTTCTGATACCTTCCTATATATAGTACATGCATAAGTTTATGTATTTATGCATATATTATGTATATTTATTTATTAGTTTAGTAAATAAAAATTTGTAAGTAAAATGTGTTGTATGTTATCTATCTTATCTTTCCTATATACATATATATATATATATATATATATTGTTAATTTGTTTTTTGTAAAGGAAGAGTGTTTTAAAATGAAACTGTGACCTCTCCTCATGAAGCGTTTATTGCAACAACTTAACGTTTTTGAAATTACATAGGGGTGGAGTATCCACCCTTTTTATTGGTGCTCATATGTGTCGCGTGATGAGCGGTGCTTCTCACTGGTCGATTGACTGATGCCGTCATCGACGCTAGATTTGACGTCGACCAGTGGTGGTTGAGGATGGCGCCTGTGACTTTGAGCATTATACTACTCACAGCAGATTTGCTACTACTGTTTTAACATGCCCCCGGCCTTGGAAGGTTCCACTTTCAATTCTTCTTCTTCGTTCCAAAGAGGGCATATTTTAGAGAATGCCCGCCTAACGATGCCGGTCTCCGTCCTTATGTCGGCGACTCTTGATACCCCGTCTTTGCCCGGGAGAGTGGAAATGATGCGTCCTAAACGCCACTTTAATGGAGGTAAGTGGTCGTCCTTAATGAGCACTAAGGTGTTTGGTTTCAGGTCTGCTTGGCGAGTTTTCCATTTGTTCCTTATTTGCATCTCAGATATATATTCTTTGGACCACCTTGTCCAAAAATGTTGGCGTATTTGTTCTACCCGTTGATATCGTGTCAAGTTTGATGGCGTGAAGTCTTGAACATCAGAGCACGGCGGCGCAGTCAGCGGACGACCGACCAAGAAATGAGCTGGGCTTAAGGGATAATAGTCATGAGGATCTGTGGACATAGGACTAAGTGGACGGGAGTTCAAAACAGCTTCGACCTGTGTTAATACCGTATTGAACTCTTCATATGTTAAATGCAAGTTACCGACTACGCGTCGCAATACATTCTTGCATGAGCGTACACCACTCTCCCACAGACCACCCCAATGAGGAGAATAAGGAGGTATGAAATGGAATTTAATTTTTTGACTAATAGCGTAGTTAATAATATCTTGTGAACAATTAGAGAGAAAATTTTGAAATTCATTCATGAGTCCTACAAAGTTTCTGCCGTTGTCTGAAAACATGTCAGATGGTTTACCACGGCGAGAAATAAATCGTTTGAGAGCTAATAAATACGCATCTGTTGACAAATCACCTACCAATTCTAAATTAACTGCGCGAGTAGTAAAACAAATGAAAATTGCAACATATGCCTTTATAACGCGTGCTCCCCGGCCCTTGCGATTTAAAATATAAACCGGACCCATGTAATCGACTCCAGAACACATGAATGGAAATCCAGGGGTTACCCGTTGCACAGGAAGATTACCCATAAGAGGTGTTAGCGGTTTAGCACGAAAGCGAGCGCATCTAGCACAATTATGTACGGTTTGTCTGGCAATATTTCTCCCACCAATCGGCCACCATACCTCTCTTATCGCATACAAGAGAGCCTGTGGCGCTGCGTGCAGTAGACGTTTGTGTTCCGCACGAAACAGTAGTATGGTAAATTGATGTTTGCCTGATAATAATATGGGATGTTTTTTGTCGTAAGTAAATGAAGTAGAATTACTAAGCCGACCACCTACTCTAATTAAATTATTTTTATCTAGAAATAAATTTAAATTTGATAAATTGTGCGAATTATTTAATTGATTATTTTTTATTAATGTAGTGTAAATGTCAAAGTAGGATTCCAATTGAACAAAATGTATTAACCTTTGTTGTGATTCACTCAACTCATCGACACTCAGTACACCTGTCCGTTTATTATTTTTAATTTGTGTGTTATTTATGAAGCGTAAAATATACGCACAGGCGCGTATCATGCGATTGAGTTGTGAGAATCTATTAAAAGGAAACCAACTCAAATCTTGTGTTATGTGATAAATATGAACTGAATTTGATTTAACCTCGGGTAAATCAGACAACAGACGACCTGAACTGTCCTCATTCTCACTACAACAAATGGTTGATGAGTTATACTTTGAATCAATTAAAATAGGCGGTCCCTCCCACCATAAATCATTAGTGTGTAGTGTGTCTAAGTAGGCACCGCGGGATACTATGTCCGCTGGATTTTGGCTACCACATATATGCCGCCATGAATGATCGCGCGTTAACTCCTGTATTTCAACCGTCCTATTTTGTACAAATGGTTTTAACAAGTTAGGATTCATTCGTAACCAAGCGAGAACAATAGTCGAGTCGGTCCAAAAGACTATATTACTAAAATTACATCGTAGTGACTGTTTAATTTTTTCATATAGCCTAGCACCTAACAAAGCTCCGCAGAGCTCGAGACGCGGAATACTGGTGGGTTTTATAGGCGCGACCTTTCCTTTTGAACATAACAATCGGACTGTAATCTTATTATCGTTACCTATACTGCGCACGTATGCGCAAGCTCCATAAGCAACCTGTGATGCGTCTGTAAAAATATGCAATTCTATGCGTAATGAATTGTTACCTATTACGTGTCGCGGTATATTTATTTTCGTAAGTAATGGAATGCTATCAACAAATCGCAACCACTGGTGAGTGACGTCATTGGGTAGCGGTTCATCCCAGCCAACTTTCAATAACCATAGCCTTTGTAATAAAATCTTTGCGATAATTATAAAAGGACTAAGCATGCCTAACGGATCGAAAATTTTAGAAACCTTTGACAATATGACGCGTTTAGTTAATATTTCATAATCGATTTTGAATTCTGTACGAAAGTTAAATGTGTCAGATTGATTACACCAACCGAGGCCTAATGTTTTTTGGTGCACATTATCGCCGAGTGATAACTCCTTTGAAGCGTGTGAGTTATGTGATGGTGTTGATGACGAGTCCTCTTTGTAGTTAAATATCCACTTGCGTAATGGAAAGCAACCTGTCATCAAAATCCGACTAATCTCGTTACATGTGTGAGTTAAATTATCTTTGCTGTCAGAGTTACCAGTAATTAAATCGTCTACATAAAAATCCTCGCGTATAATTCTACTAATGTTTGTATTTGTAGTTGTAGACGCTAATTCTTTCAAACACCTAACGCTAAGAAATGGGGCTGATGCTGTGCCGTATGTCACAGTGTTGAGTTGGTATATACCTATCTCATCAGTGGGATTTTCGCGCCACAATATTAATTGTAGGTCACGGTGATCGTTATGTACCAACACTTGACGATACATTTTTTCGATGTCTGCGCATGCCACCCACCGATGTTGCCTAAAGCGTAATAATATGGCAGTTAGATCGCCTTGTATAGGTGCACCTACAAGTTGTAAATCGTTAAGCGATTTACCCGAGGTGGTACTTGCGCTTGCGTCGAATACAACCCGTAGTTTTGTTGTGGTACTATGGGCGCGAAAAACACCATGATGTGGCATTATGTAGTGTGGAGTATTGTATGTGTGTATTCGTGACATATGCCCCAGCTCAATGTATTCCCGCATAAATGAAATGTATAATTGTTTATAATCGGGTGTGCGTTGTAATCGTTTCTCAAGTGCATAAAATCGATTCAGTGCCTGAGAGTATGATTCACCTAATAATTTAGGACTATCCTTGAAAGGTATGCGCACACAAAACCTGCCTTCCTCTGTGCGCGTTGTGGTACTTGTAAAGCGTTCCTCACAAGCCCTTTGCTCAATACTGAGGACATTAGTGACCCTCGGTAATTCCTCAAGTTCCCAGAATTTACGCAACTGTGAGTCTAATGTGTGAGTAAAATTGCATGAAACTTGTGAGTATTTAGGAGTGTGCGTATATATAGGTCCCGAAATGATCCATCCTAATTTTGTGTTTTGTATAAATGGACCATTTTCAAGACGAATCTTTCCTTCATCAAGGAGATCCCAGAATAAATCGGCACCCAATAGGATGTCGACCGATTGTGACTCGAAATATTTTGCGTCCGCTAACTGTATATGAGAAGGAATGCAAATATTACTTATATTTATTGATGTTGATGGTAACTTTGTTGTTATATGTTGTAGCACTAAACATTGAATATTGGTAGTATAGGAGCTACACAGGGACCTGATATTGATGTTACAAGTCTGTGTGCACTGTGTAACGGCGCTGCCTACACCCTTTATGTTATAAGTGGACTGTATTAATTGTGCGTTTATTTTATTGCATAATGATTGTGTTATGAACGACCGCTGACTACCGCTATCGAGAAGCGCGCGGACGCTGATATAGTTTTTACTTTTGTCCCGTACGCCAAGAACTGCAGTAGATAGCAAGACCGGTTCACTATTAGTCGACACCTGTGCATGCGATTTGTTATCTAATGTGAATAACGTTAAAGCGTTATTTTGCGTGCCTCCATCAGTAACCTCTCGTTGCAAGTGTGTGTCATCTCGATGTAATAGTGTATTATGTTTACACGAACAGTGCCGACATGGACCGAATCGACAGTCAGTAGCCGAGTGTCCTAAGCGTAAACAGTTCTCGCATAATTTATTTTGTGTGACTATTTTACATCTATCTAAAACTGATAGATTTAAAAACTGCTGGCATGAATATAATGGATGTTTGGAATGACACATAGGGCAGGATTTGTAGTGTGTAATTGTATTTTGTTGTGGTTTATTTGTGGACATGGAAGAAACGTTACAGTGTATCTTTTGCGACTGATTAATGTGTTGTTTTTTAATATTATTGTGCATCGGTTTGTTTGACGCTATTAACGTTTCTAACATGTCCGCCCTACGACCAACGAAATCAAGCAAATTTTGAAGTTTCAACCGACATTGAGAATCACTGGTGTTAATTGAAAATAATAGTGTTTTGTGTTGCTCCCATTCGCGTTCTGTGATGGGATCGAATTTTGAAACGATTATATAAATAATTAGTGTGTCCCAATGTTCAGTAGGCTCACCGAGAATTTTTAATGCGCGTATATTCTTAAGTACAGTGTCGATAAGCTTTCTCAATAACTCTGGTGATTCCTTTGTCAATGGTTGGATTGAAAATAATGCTTTAACGTGGTTATGAATAAGTAATCTATTATTATCATACCTATTTACGAGTAACTCCCATGCAACGGAATAGTTAGCTGCAGAAAACTCTAGTGAGTCTATAACTAATTCAGCGCTACCCTTCAATGATGATTTTAAATAATGAAATTTTTGTATTGCGCTTATTTCTTTGGAGTTATGTATTAGTGATAGGTAACAATCCCTATACTCCAGCCAATTTTCAAAGGAACCGTCATAGGAAGGTAAAGATAAGGTCGGCAATTTCATTAAATTAAGAGATCCTTTATGAGAATCTTCGGTAGATTTGTCACCAGATAGCAACTCATCAGCCCTAGCAATCACACCGTAATAATTTGTTTCAAATTCTTCCCTATGCTCTAATTGTTCATCGATATCATCAGAATACTCTTCAATTTTAGACTGAACTTCATTAAAATCGGTTAATAGAGAAGATGCGCCTTGTATGCGTAATTTGAATTCGGCTTTTTTGAATGAAGACGGTTGTAAAAGGACTGATTCTATGTATTTATCCAATTTTGTTAGCCTACCTTTAATGACGCCTCTTTTGCGTATATATAGACTTAATTCACTAGTTTTATTAGGAGATCTAGTAGGGGATTTTACGGGAACTGATAAATTAGCCTGATCCATCATTGGGGTTGTGTGGTATGAATATGGAGTACTCACGTTTGCGAAATTTGAAGCGTTGACCGTTGACTGTAGTCACTAGCACCGATCGTAATTTGCGTGAAGTATTAACACACGACACTAGAAACGTTGAAAAAACAGTATTAACACAGGTGAAGAGGAAGGTTGAGGGATATCTTGGCTGGTACGTCTTACCGAACTGCGCTTTATTGATGATGTTCGATATACTGATGTGCTGTTGCTGCCTTTTATCCAACAATTGTCCTCCTCTGGTTGCTGGTTGATGAAGATCCGGGTACGAAGGTCCAAGAAATTATGTTAATTTGTTTTTTGTAAAGGAAGAGTGTTTTAAAATGAAACTGTGACCTCTCCTCATGAAGCGTTTATTGCAACAACTTAACGTTTTTGAAATTACATAGGGGTGGAGTATCCACCCTTTTTATTGGTGCTCATATGTGTCGCGTGATGAGCGGTGCTTCTCACTGGTCGATTGACTGATGCCGTCATCGACGCTAGATTTGACGTCGACCAGTGGTGGTTGAGGATGGCGCCTGTGACTTTGAGCATTATACTACTCACAGCAGATTTGCTACTACTGTTTTAACATATATATATATATATATATCCTCATATCTTCTCTTTTCCAGGTTGTCTGTAAGAGATTGCTTGTAGTGATAACACCGACTTTTATTGTTACTATCTTACTTACTTTCATTATTGTTGTATTATTTATCTGCGCTTATGCACAGAGTAATAGAGAAGAAGTAATAAAGAGAAAATAGAGATATAAAGAGTAATAATTATTATTCTTTTGTAAATAAGGCATATAAGTTGATAGATACGATAAGAGAACAGAAAATGTTGAAACAAATGTCTATATAAGAAGAGCAGTGTATTCTCAATAACCGTGACTATTTTTTTTATATCTACGATGATGGCAAGCATACGGCCCGTCTGATGGTAAATGGTTATCATAGCCTATGGATGTCTGTAACACCACTGATGTCACCTGATACCTGTGGTATGTGTTGTCGTTCTTAAGAAATCTTAACATAAACTTCATAAAAAACTCCATGTTGCACTCTCTCGAAAAAACCTCTGCAGGTAGTCCATTCCACAATCTATATGTACGCGGAAGTAAGGTCTTCTGAAACCACACTTTGCTAGACCACTAACACCTACTTTTCAAAATTAATCTAAACAAACAGCAACACACACACTCCGGTATACAGTTTGCTCTTTATATGATTTGAACATAATCATAACGTGAACTCGGAACGTAGCGATAAATTATTGTACCCCTAACTATATAGGTCTTGTGAGCGTAATACAAACGGGAAATAATACCTCTAAACAATTCACACAACGCCATCTAGTCCCAAGCTAAGTAAAGCCTGTGTTATTAGTACTAAATGTCTGATATAAATACATAAATACTTTGTTTTTGTAAATACTTTAATTAGATTATATAGAAAATAATCAGACAAACAATAATGCTTATGGATAGAAATGTTTGTATCGTGCGAGAAATCGCATCCACGGACGTCGGAAGTAAAGCTGTGTGCTAAACCAGTAGATCACCGAAGCCATCGAATTCCAGCCCGCTAGAGAAATGAAAAGAGGATCTATGATTAACAAAATGAGATAGAATTAGACGGCAATATTTAATATTGTGTATTTTGTAAGGCTGCTAATATACAGTCGATTGATCGAAGTTGCACTAATACAACTAGCGCCGCCAAACTACAATGAAAATGTGACGTCGTAATCAAAGGGTTGGTGCATTCCATAATCCCACAACCGGGACCCTTTGGAACATTAGCATTAATTTAGTATTATAACTAACCGACTGTATATCAGTCGCCTAATGCGTTTGTAAGGGTAAAAATGTTTAGATACACTAATTGTAAACAAAACCTAACATATAGGCACATTCAATGCTATTTTTATGTTAGTATTTTCCGCATAAAAATATTTTAAAATGCAGATACACAGCCTATATTGATATTATATGGGCTTATCCGTTACAAATAAAGGAACATAATACAAAAAATGTAATCATTCCTCTTTTCGATACTAATTTAGATAGATACATAACGTTAGCATTTCCGTTTAATCTCATTCTTGAACAATACAGTGAGAGATCTCTCGTCGTATTTATATGGAAATTTCGACGAGGAACAATGCTCCCTAACTTTATGCACTATTTGTTGAATACTAATTCTATGTTCTCTAATTGTATATTTACTTATAGTCGTACTTCAAGTTTTCGTTTGTTCAAACTAGGACTGTTAGTGGTACGTAATCGATGTTCCCAGTTATATATTGGAATGATAATATTAACTATGAAGTGCGACTGTTATTTTTCTACGTTTTACTGCACCAATTACATTACAAAAAAGTGGTAAATATACTATATATAATTTATCTCATGACGGAAGAAGGGGCAGAGGTAGGGCACCTGCAAGTTGGACTGATCCTGTACGAGAGGCCGTCAAACGAAATATACAGTCGGCGGTCCACTTAGCACAAGATAGAAATACCTGGAGAGTTTTGGTTGGAAGAAGCATTCCTGGTGGTCACGACCCTCAGTCTGGAGGAATCGACAAGGAAGAAAAATTTATGTCAATTGATACAAAAGGCTGTCTTATCGCTAAGCAATCTCTTCCAGACTACCTTTGGGTGGATAGGGAAAGTAAAAATAAGAAATAGTTAGGTCACGCACGTAATAAACAAAATAATTTATGCGTTTGTATCATAATCATGATAATGTGGTATAATAATAATGATAATAATCAAAATCATTTTTCGTTCGAACGTTAAAGACGCACGGAGCGCCTATTATCGAAGGTTTGGTTGAGGACAGAATTTCTCTGGGTAAATCAGCAATGAGATGGACTGACGTGAAATCAGTACCAGCAGTCCATTCTACAATGTTCTCGTGCAGCCAAAAAAAAACCATACCAGATAGAGGCAAATTGGGAGGAGTTCTGTCATCAAGGAGGACAATGAAGAGATACCATCATAAAAGCCACGACCATTCTGCCAAGAGTGAACGACTGAAGAAGAAGTCAAAATTAAAGTTGGGTTGATTTAGAGTTGAGATTACGATTAACGAAGTGGACCTCCACGCGGTCGCAATGGAAGCTGTTGTAGTTACTTTATATAAATAAAAATATTTGCGTATTAATTTTGGTCTAACTGACATGACTTGAAACGTACGGACCTCCATTCCGCCAACCATACTTCCTAATAGATATAATCTTTAATTAAATAAATTCAAAGAAAATACAAATGCTAATGTGTGTTTGTTACCTTTACTGAATAAGATATTGCAATGAACAAATTGAATTGATTAAGTTCATCATTCGTTCAAATAAATATTCAGTAAAGTAAAGTTAACAAATACACTAACAAATTATTTAATAATACAATTATTTTTATTACAAGTTTACTTTCACTACGTTCAAAAATACCATTCTGATCATCTGGATGACTGGCGTTCCTCCACAGTATATTATTACTGAGACTTTTTACCACTCACAACCACATTGTGAAATCACCTTCCAGCTAATATTCAATCCACTCCTAATCTGATACGATTTTGAAACCTACAAGAAAAGGGCATATTCCTTCATAAAAGGCCAACAATGCAACTGGAATTCTCCTGGTGTTGCGAGTTGATGAGCGGCGGTAATCACTTACCATCAGATGAGCCGCAAGCTCGTTTATTTCCTATGCTATAAAAAAAGTTGTGTACCGAAAAAACTCCTGGGGCAGCGAAATAAGAGCCCTTATCAAGTCTAGTGCGAGAAACGACAAATTTTAATTGCAATTTAAGAACTCGCCGAGATGAGACGCCAAGCCAAAAAAATGGTATAATTCAAATTAACCCAATTAACTTGTTTCCTAATGAACTTACTCGCTTTTGGCAGATATAACTTGGGGAAAAAACGAACTCGCCCGAAGTTTGGCCGCTTTAACGGGGAACGTTTAGGTTGTTTTAATCGTTGAAACAACCTAAATGTTCGCTAAATATTTCCCATATTTTTCGTTTACTAAGAGTCAATATTTTTTGGTTTTATACAATTCAGTCAATTTAATATATCGAAATACTCAATGGTCTAGGTTTAGCATACCGCTCTACCGATGATAGCGGGTTAGATTCTTAAACGATACAAATATTTGTTTTCATGAGTATGTTTTATTAATAGAGTTAAAGGGGTCTTAATATGTTTTTTTTCTTGATGTCTACTAAACGCGAACGTTTTAAAATAAGTATGAGTTTGTTTGTTCCTATTCACCCAGTTGTTTAATATGTACTTACTTTGCCGATGATTTGTCCGCGTTACTTAAGCTTTAAAAAATAGTTCATGTACTCTTAGAAAAAGGAACAAACAGATAGAAAGACAAACTTTCGCTTTTATATTGTCGCTGCTTTGTTCGCATTTTTTTAGGTAAGAATAGCCTATGTACCCTAAGAAAAAGGGACAAATAGACAGAGAGACAATTTTTCGCTTTTATAATCTATACGTAGATATGTATATAAAAAAGATACAAGATTTTTGTTTCGATCTGTTATTTAGTACCTATAGGGGAGAAGCAGGCAGCTCTGAACGTAGTATGTTCTAAGCAACACTTGACCGGAACTCGCTTTTTAAACTGCCAGTAATAAACCGGGATAATTGCAATAGCTCGCATTTTATTGCTAGTTTCCTTCGTACAGGAATGTTGTAAGAATACTGTAATATTTGTAATACTTTACGCGCAAACCAGCGTTATTGCAATTATAGCGTCGATATTGTTCCATATCATATAGTAATAGAAATAGTAATATGTATTGTTATGTATAAATTAGAAACATTTTACAAAAGTTATGTTTATTATAAGTAATATTATGTTATCTGTGGTTATAAGCTATGGAAGAGTGGAGCCTCCTGTTGTAGTAAAATCCTCCTGAATGTAGGAAAATTGTGTTACCTAAATATAGTAATTTTGAATTT